GATGGATGGTCAGTTATACACAGGAAACCAGGCTTTTCTTCCTCAGATTCATGGCTGTGCTCTGAATCACGGTTTGCCACATAAGCAAGCACCGTAAGGATCATTTATTGCTACAGGTGTTGTTTTATTTCTATGACTGTATCTGAAGAAATAATCGTACAAACATTGTTACGTGTTATTTAAATTCACTTGAAATTAGTTCAAAAATCAGGATTCTAAGGAAGAGTCTGTTACACCACATGTAGTGGTATAACCACACGGTTTTAAGACTGGGTCTAAGCAGTTAGGCTGACCTCAAACTCACTAGGAAGCCCAGGCAGTTCTTACACTTGTGGTCACTCTCCTGCCTCAGCCTCCCGGGCACTGGGAGTACAGGCATGGGCCACCACACCCAGCAGGCCATGCTCTACTGACCTGCAATGACACCACCTCTAACAGAGCAGGTGACATGGGGACTGTGACTTGGTGGCATGGCCACAGTGCACTGTCATCTCCCAGGACCTACCTGGCTTTTTCGGGGCCCAGACTTGTGAACTAACGGTGAGATCTGGGTCCATCTCCCTGTGTCTTCTAGTTCTTTAGATATTTTAGTGGTTTGCATCTAAAATGTCCCCCACAGTATTCCACGGTTCATACCTGGCTATTGCCCCCGTCTCATGATAGACATGGAGTTATGGGATTTTGTGTTTCAGCTTTGCAATGATCCCATTCCTTTCTGTCCCGCGGCTGGAGAGGGGATGTGCACTCTGTCCCACTGTGCACTGGGAGGACTTACTCTCTCCTGGTTTATACAGGGCCCCGCAGCTGAGAGCTTGCCCAGAGTCTCAGAGGAGACTTGGGACTTGGACTTTTCAGCACTGCTGAAGCTCAGGTTGGTGACTCATCAGTGGGTTAGGTCACAGGGTACAGGTCTGGTTGGAGAGGGTTCCCGGGGTGGTGACCTGCAGGTGAGTCCTTGCCCAGCTCTGCCTTCCCCTCCTATCTTCCTGACTGCTATCTGGAGCATCTTTCTTCCCCCATTTCCTCCCACTATGCCATTTCTGCCTGGGAACAGTTATCCATGGACTGAACTCACAAAAATCGTGAACTGAAATAAACCTCTCCTCTTTTAGGTGGTAGGTGTCAGGTATTTTATTCCAGTAACAGGAAAGTGACTAACACAGAGTTGACCTCAAAGTGCTAATTTCTTTGACCTGGGAAGAATACTGTCTTGGAGTCACTGTCGTGGTACTAGAGGCGGCTCATTCCCAGGCACAGTAAGGCCCTGACTGAGGAATCCCAGAGTGTGGATTTTCACAGGGGTGCTGTGAAGACACCCTTGGTCGGCCTAGGAGCAAATCTGACTTCCACTTCTGGAGCAGAACCAGTCCCTGAGCGGGCACTTCCTGTGTTCTCCTGGGCCTTCTCCACTGAGTGTTACAGTAAACCAAGGACCAGTGTGAGGATGAGGAGCTAAGGAGCATCTTCCTCCTGCATTTGGGGTCCAGGCACCTGTCCACTGTGCCAGAACTAGCAGCAGCCATTGTACGGTGGGCCTGGTCCAGTCTCCATGTTCTATCAGCCCCACGATGGTGCCTTGTCTGCGTCATGTCTATGACGTTAGGGCACTCCTCGGAGACAGATACCAAGTGCATTCCTCAGGGGAGAGTCTGGGCAACCCAGCTCCTCCCCCATGGGCTGTGGCGTTGCAGGGCTCTGCCCATTCCTGACAAGGCACTGTGACTTTCTTACGGGCTCCTGATGGCGCCTCCTTGATTTCCTCTGATACAGGCCAAGCGGTCTGTTCACTGTTTTGCCTCTAGGGCTACAGTAATTGGATCCAATTTTCCATTAGCTTCCCTGAGGACTGTTTTGTACCTAGCAGAAGACTTTTCTGTACAGTATGTGAGAAAAAGAGTTCATGAGCATTTCTTGGCCAGAAGAGCAGATGGTGGAGGTGCCAGCAAACTGTCCACTAAGGCATCATGGCTCCCCAGCCTTCCCTGCATCCCTTGCACAGAAGCAATCCCACATGCCTGGATGCTTCTGGTGGATCAGAATCGAAGTGACATCACTTCCGACAGAGGTGAAGACGTGGAAGCCCTTATCCTAATACTCCTTTCTTAGGTAGAGGGAGACCTTGCAAGCTAGAGATCCAGGAAAACAGAGCCTCTGCCAGCCTGAGCCTGTGAGTGACCACAAGGAATAATTACCACCTGCCCATTGTTACACGAAGGTTGGATTGTGTTTCGTCTTTTGGAGACAGGATCTCAGGCTGGCCTTAAACTCAAAGTGCTCCTCCTGCCTCAGCCTCCCAAGTGCTGGGATTACAGGTGTGCGCCACCACAGCTGGCAAGAAATCATCTTTAACTGTTAGGTAATGGAAGTGTAGGAGCTGGTTTGCTTAGAGCAACTAATTATCCTACACACATTCCTTGTAAATTCTTTATCAAATCTAAATAAATTTCTTCCCAGTTGAGCAGATTCTAAATTTGAGAGGTAGTGTGAAGAGTACAGACTACATGGTAAGTACAAAATTCACTCTGAAAGACAGTGGCACTGTCTTATGAAGACCAACGGTTATTCTTATTGGAGACTTTTCGGTTTATCCCTCAGGCTGGCCTCCTCCTGCCTCAGCGTCCTCAGTGCAGGGACTGCAGGTGTGCACCACCTTGCCTGGCCAGCAGCTGTCTTCACAGCAGGGGAATCTTGATGCCATGAGCATCGAACACTTTCACCATCCACGACTGCTGCGGCGTGGTGGCTTGAGGACCACTTGTGCCAAAGGCTAGGAAGGAGGCGGCTCCAGGTGGCAGGTCCATGGCATTCGGGGAGGGGTGTGTGCCAGCAGAGCAGCAGCCGCAATTGACTTTGTAAAAAGTTCACAACTTGGGCTGGGGATTTCGCTCAGGGCATAAGCACCTGCCTTGCAAGCAGGTGGTGTGTGTTTGATCCCAGTACTGATAAAAAAAAAAGTTCAAAAGTTTACCAATTAACAGAAGAGTGGCTGGCTTAATGCATGCCAAGCAGGAGCACAATACTGGCAGGGAAAGGAAGCTTCCCCTCTGCCAGGAGGGGACAGACTGTTTTGAGGACTTGCTGACCTATGAGACCCTCCTGGTATCTCACACTGAGCGTGATGTGAAGGCCCCTCAGAGCCAGTCACCGCCTGTGGCTTCCTCGTCTGCCGAGCTAGGGAGACTTAGGTCACACAGTCCAGCCTCCGCCCGACTGCAACATGGCTTTGCTGGGAGGCTTCACTCTTATTTCTCTCACGGTAATTTCCACTTCTTTAATATGGATTTGTGAATTCATGTCTCAGTTTCGACTGCAGCATGAAAACACCCAGGGGCTTGGATCTCAGAGGATGTAATTATCTTAGATATTTTTAAGATACTAAATGTTTTTGGTAACATTGTAAAAGGTATCATTTTAAAAGTTCACTTTATAATTAGCTGTTGCTATGTAGAAATGCATTTTTTAAAAAGAATTATGTAGTTCAGGCTGGTTTTGAACTCACTGTGTAGACCAGACTGGCCTTGAGTTTGAGGCATCGTCCTGCCTCAGCCTCCCAAGTGGTAGGATTACAGGCGTGCCCCACTTCTGGAATCACTACTCCACTGCCCACACTAAAAGCTGCAGATCTCAACACAAGTGGGTGGAAAACCAGAGGCCCTGGCACTGTGGATGCAGGACGCTAATGTATTGTCTGGTGGCCCTGTTCTGTGTTTATGCGGGCTGTTGCCACCCAGGGAACCTAGTGAGGCATACAGGCAGCCTCCTGAGTCTACAGCTTTTATTTTTTGAGACAGGCTCTCGTTATGTAGTTTGGGCTGGGCTTTAACTATGTAGCCCTGGTTTGCCTCAAACTCCTGGCAGCCCTTCTCCCTCAGCCTCCTGAGTGCTAGGCTGCAGGTCTGCACCACCATGCCCAGCAGGCCAGTTACCTCTAAATAAAATGTTACAGCCAGACAAAGCTATTGGCACACCCAGGTAGCTGTGTGAACCCAGGTTCTCTGGGAAGGTAGGGAGAGAATCATACATACATATGGATTTCTCAAATTCCATATTGCCAACATAAACTAATAAAAACAAACCAAAGCCTGGGGTGGTGGCACATGCCTGTAATCTCAGCATTCTGCAGCCTGGGGCAGGAGGATTACCAGGAGTTCGAGGGCAGCCTATGGTACTCAGTGAATTTAAGGCCGGCCTGAACTGCATAGTGAGACCCTGTCCGCAAAACACAACCAAACCTTCCACTTTGGAGCAGCTCCAGGCCCTTGCTTGAGTCCCTACCCCCTTTCTAACTGGGTGTGCGGCCTCTGGAGGTCCAAGAGTGGGGCTGAGTGGGAAGTAACAGGGCTGCCTCTGCCCCTCTCTGCCCTAAATGGAAGTGCAGATGGCACCCCTCCCTGCCCTCCTACTGTGCCTTGAGGCTTCTGGGGCAGCACCGGGCTGGCTGCAGGGACCTCCGGTGCACATGCTCCCCTCTGTAGCCCCGGGTGTGCGTCCTCAGGGCAGGGTTTCCCTCTAGACCTTTCACCTTTGCCAGTCTGGGTGGAGATGCGGGTCCGAGAGGCCTTGGGTCTAGGGAGGCAAAGGTGGGGTCTATGTCCAGGGACCCCAACAAGCACAGCTAAGGAAGAAAAAACCTAACAGAGCAACCCTGAGCCGGGCGCGGTGGCGCAGACCTGTGATCCCCTGATGTGGGAGACCGAGGGACGAGGAGTTTGGGGCTGGCCTGGGTTACAGTGAGACGGTGTCACAATACACAAACAGAACACCAAAACATTAAAACGCAAAACCAATGAAAAATCCACAACACTGCACCGAGACCAGTGAAGCAGCCTTTCCCCTACACAGGAAAGACGACCTTACAACCGAGGCTGACACTGCTGATGACACATGGGGTGCACGTGGGTCACATGTGAGCAGCTGCCCTCATGGAAGGAACCCCAGCACTGCATACCCGAAGTCTGTGGGGACCCTCCCCTGGCCACCCGATACACCACACAGCAGCATGCAGCTCACGTCTTTTATTGTCAGCCTCTGAAATAGGCAGCACCTGGGTTCCTGTGGCTGCCAGGAGAGTCAGGGGTCAGGGGTCAAGGGTCGGGGAAATTGCTTTTTCCTTCGTGGGTGGACCTAGATGGCCCAAGTCTTTATAACTTCTCCATATAAAAATACAAGTCCAAGTCCAGATTATTTTTCTTGCAGCCATCAGTGTTGATTTATATACAGGTGCCTTAGTCCAGACGCCACTGTAAACTTGGTGTAAAATGTGCTTGTTTTATTGAAGCCTCCACAGAGATGCAAGGGCCTTTGGATCTGCTCCTGTGACCTCGCTCAGCCCCGTGGCAGCTCCCCCCGTTGGTGACAGCTGTCCTCTGTCCAAGAAACGCATGCTAACCTCAAGAAAAGGCCCCTTCAGGTTAACTGTGTTAAGACAGCAAGGCCAGGCAGTGACCTCACACTGTCTGGAAGCAGCTCCACAGCCACAGCAAGGGCCCTGTAATAAACCCATCGGCCTGGCAGGCCCAGTCCAGTGGCAGAGGGGGACGCCCAGGCATGGTGCTCGGGTACAAAACCCCCTCGAAGGCACGCCTGCAGCTGCTAACTCAGGGCCAGGAAAATGCAGGGGCTCTTTGCACCACTGCACATCCTCTTCCCTTTGTAACGCCCGTGATCAAAGTGTGAGGCTTTGAACTCGCGCCATTGGCGAACACAGGCGCCGGAAATGAGACGAGGAAGCGCGGAGTGGACTCGTGTCCTAGGGAGGCTGCCAGCAGCGCTCCAGCCACACACACGCTGTCCCCTCTCGCTCCCATCGGCTCCCCCCCTCACCTTCCCTGCGGCGGGGAATCAGGCGGGGAGATTAGTGCATGCCTGACGGGTGGACACTCCTTCCCTGCGAGCTCCGGAAGCTCCCCAGGAGCTTCCTTCAGTAGGACGACCAGGGTCAGGGTCAGGGTCCGGGTCCGGGTCCGGGTCCAGGTCCAGGTCCCCAAGGGTGGTCTTTGCAACGTAAGGCACTTCCGGCAGCTTTGGTGGCGGCGTGGCTTTTCTCCCGTCCTCTTTTAAGGCATGTGTCATCTAGAGTAGTAGTAAAGCTTTGCAAACTGTGCAGACTGTTAGGTCGACAGCTCAGCAGGGGCCTATTGCTGCAGCTGGTGGGCAGAAGGAGCCGAGACTCCCAGCTCCGGTGGCTCCCGCGGAGCAGGCTGGAGAGTATAGCGGTGCAGGCTGGAGGGCGGGCCGTGCTGACGTCAGGGCTGTGCGTGCTGACGTCAGAGCTGTGCGTGCTGACGTCACAGCCGTGCATGCGGACGTTGGAACCGTGCGTGCCCCCACCCACCTTCACCTGGAGCTGCCTTGGCTGCTGAGGGAGCGCGTGGTGCTGTAGCGCTTCTTCACGATCATGCTGATGTAGGCCTTCATGAGTTTGGCCACGTCCACCACCTGCGGGGGACACAAGTCAGGCGGTCATGTCTTCCGGCCTCCCCGCCCTCCGTGCAGAATCTTAGACAAAGCCAAGGGTGTGCCCGGCACTCGGGAGGCTGAGGCAGGAGGATCGCTACATGTTTGAGGCCAGCCTGGACTGCAGAGCGAGGCCCTTCCCAAAGGACTATCCCAAGCCTGGCAGAAGGAAACTGCGGTTTCTCCGGAAGGCAGTGTGTGCCACCAGGCCCGGTTCTGCCGTAAACTCTAATGGGAAACAGGGAATTATCCCTCGGAAACTCGCCCCGGGTGGCTCTTACCTCGCTGGTCTCAAACAGCAGCTCCCGCTCATCCACCACGATCTTGTAGGTGTTGGCCTGGGGCGCCCCGAAGGAGAGGATGTGCTCGTACTGGAAGACTTCCAGGGGCCGGCCCTCCCCGCGCTTGTACACGGACACGGCGTCCGCACTCACGCCCAGCCACAGCTCCTGCGGGAAGCCGCCCTCCTTGCACTGCGGGCGGGGAGGAAGCAGGATTAGCGGGGCCCCGGCTGGGAGACCACAGGGTGCACTCGGCGGCCTCCACCCTGGGCTGGGCGGTCAGTTGGGGAAGCTCAGTGAAAACGCCCAACACGCTTTGGGCTGGGCAGGGCTGGCTGCTCTGCACAGGGTACAGGAGAGACCTCCTCTGGATTTCTGAGTCAAAGCCTTGCTGTGTAGTTCACGCTGGCCTCAGACCCGCAGACACTCTCCTGCTTCAGCCTCCCAAGTGCTAGAATTACAGGCCTTGCACCTGCTCAGTGCAGACAGGTGGTTCTCAGTCTCCCTGCTGAGCCCTCTGCCGACCCACGGAGAAGACAGGGGCCGAGGTGCAGGAGCCACAGTGCAGGGCCCTCTGAAGGGGCACAGTGGCAGGATGAATTAAGGGTGCTGGAAGGAAGAGGAACTCTGTCTCGGGCACCTGCAGGAGAACCCACGGAACCAGCCGGGGAGGAGGCACTAAGGGACCTCGATGTGAATCCAGCAAGCACTGCTTCTGCGGAGAAACTTGATGTCAGGTCCCGAGGCAGTGGGCACGAGGTCTGACCTCGAGGACACCGGAAGCCGCCTGGACTAGGATCCCGGGCCCTTCGTTCCCACACTACAGCCGCCAGCACAGGTGACAAGTGAGGACTGAACGCGACTGTGCTGGGGAAGGTGCAGGTCTGATTTCATCCGAGGCCAGTTTGGCAAAAACTTTTTTTTTTTTTAAAAACCTTTTATTTTTAGGAGGCAGAGAACAAAAGTCTCTCCCATACTATTTAGCGAGGCTTTGTTTCGGTCAGTGGCCATTAAGAAAACTCCAAACCCAAACAATAGCAATAAACTGGGTATGGTGGCACGTGCCAGTAATGTAGTATTCTGGGAGGCTGAGGCAGGAAGACTAAATCTGACCCCAGCCTGGGCAACTGAGCAAGAGCATGTGGAAACATTAAAAAGAAAACAAGGACTGGGGACACGGCTTATTGTGCAGAGGTCCTGAGTTCAAGTCCCAGCACCAAGACAACAACTATGAATCACTTGGTTAAATTCCAATTACAAAATAAAAATCTCATCTTACTGGCTGTTGTTCCCTTCAAATAGATAATACTAAAAAGGGAAAAACCAAAAAGCAAACCAAGTCCACATGAGCACCTTTACTCTGAAAATCCAAAATCCAGAACGCTCCCAAATTGGAAATAATTTGACTAATTTACAAGTTCTAAAAATGTTGGCATCAAGAGTATTTCAAATTTCAGACTTTCAGATTCATTACACTCAAATTAGCGAAATGTACCCAAACACTCCTAAGTCTGAAAATGAAAAAACCCTAAAATCTAAAACATACCTGGCCATTGGAGGGAAGGTCTCCTTAGTCTGTATACCCAAAGTTTCTAAGTTTATATGTCTAATTCTAAAATAATTAAAATCATAAATGCAGATTTTTTAACACCATTTAAAAAACCCTACAGCTTCCACAAGCAAAACAGAACAAATGTCTTAGTTGGGCATGGTGGTGCACGCCTGTCATCCGGGCAGTGGGGAGGCTGAGACAGGAGGATCACTGCATGTGTGTGGCATTCTGGGTTCCATAGTGAGTTCAAGGCCAGCTTGAACTACGTAGCTAGACCCTGTCTCAGAAAAACCTTCGTTTTACAATTTTTCCTAGTATTACAGAAACACGAGGGGCGCCGGGTTCTCACCTCCACGTCGAAGAGCGTGGAGCCGTAGCCGGGCCACTCCTTGATGAGCGCCATGTACCTGGCCATGGCCTGCTCCTGGCTCAGGCCCTGCAGCCTCCTCCACTTGTCCAGCACGCCGGCGCGCACGCCACCCAGCTCCTCCTGCAGCCACAGCTCCAGTGCCTGCTCGTCCTCCGCCCGCTGCCGCACGGGCCCGGGCCGCAGGCTGCGCCTCAGGGTGCTGTCCAGGAAGCTGGTGCGCCGCCGCTGCAGCCGCTCTCCCGTCGCTGCGCCCTGGGCTGCTTGGCGCACGCGCGCCCGCAGCCTGTCCACCGAGTACACCTGCTCCAGCGGCGGGACCGCCTGCGGGGAGTGGTCGCCCTGTAGGTACTGCAGCCGCAGCGCCGCCAGCACCTGCAGCGTCTCCTCGGGCGCCGGGTGGTGGCCGTGGATCACCGCCTCGTGGGCCTGCAGGACAACAGGCGGGTGTGACACTGATGCATGCGGGCCGCAGCCTCCCTGTCTGCCCTGTGCAGACGCTGCCCTTGCCCTGGGGAAGTCTGCCCAGGACGGAAATCAGTGTGGACGCTCCGCCGACGCTGCCCAGCTGAGCTGCTCTCCAGTCACACAACCCGTGACAGGGTTCCACGCACACACATCCAGCTTCCAGTAGCACGACTCATACAACTAAAGCCCGCAAGTGGCCACTCTGTCCAACAACAGGTGAGGGGACAAAGCATGGCGTTTGCGCACCGCGGAGCACCACTCTGCCATGAAGAAGGGTGCACCTCGCACCCACGATGTTGGGTGAAATCAATCAGACACTCAAGCTCAACACTGCACAGCTTCTCTTTCTGAGAAAACCGGAAGGTAAATAAACAGCAAGACAAAAAAGGACTTGGAAGAAGGGAGGTGGCCCTTCTGTGATGGCACCGAGGGGCGGAGGGACTCTACGGCGAGGTGTGTGTGGTGCGCATGCGCCAGCCCCTAGCGGAAGCGGTTTAGGTTTCGCAGCATTGCGAACCCCGAGCAGAGCGAAATAAAACCTGAACACAGAAAACTCCATCTACCCCAGCCAGCCCTGCTGCGCCCCAAACCCACCCCCTCCCCCAGCACAGACGGCATGGAAATGCGTCCCTGATTCCTATGCTCGCTCCCCCAATGCTAGGACAGCTCTTGGAGGGGAGTTTAGGTAAAATGTTTTAGATTCACCCAACAAACACATGAACGGAACAGTGGTGGGCGTCGTCTTGGTGGGCACTCTCCTGCAGGCCCCAGGAGACTGACTGGAGTCTGGGTGTCCCTATGTGGCCTGGAACTCCCGGCAACCCTCGTGCCTCAGCCTCCCCATGCTGGGATGACAGGCATGGACCCCTGGGCCTGGCTCTGGCCGTCATCTCCCAGGCCTGGCAGTGATTGGTCCCAGGGAATGGGGGCGCCGTGCCCCAAGTCCCCTCACCTGCTCAAACATGAAGGCGAACTCCACGCTGTCCTTCGGCACGTTGTCCGTGTCTAGGAAGCAGTAGAGCTTGAAGTAGAATTTCCAGGGCAGCTCCCCTGCGTCGGGCACGGCAGCCAGCCTGGGGACAGGGGCGGGAGGCTCAGACGCCAAGGACAGAGGGCCCTGGGGACCTGCCGGAGGACTTGGGGTAGGGCGTGGGGGACACGGAGTGGCAACAGAGCCCCTCCTGAGCTGAGCTCAGGAGCAAGGTGAGATACGCATCCTGCCCTGTCACGCTGTCTGGAAAGGTGTCTTGTGCTCTTTCTGAGGTCAGAATACAAATATCACAGGTATGTGTTTTTTTGAGGTGTGGTCTCAATCTGCAGTCCAGGCTGGCTGTGAACTCAAAGCCATCCTCCTGCCTCAGCCTCCCAAGCTGGGATTCCAGGGGCGCACCACCACGCCCGGTTTGGTCCCCCAGCAGCTCCGGGACCTCTGGCGATGGCAGGTGGGGAACTCACCTCTCGAACTTGGCCAGAACGTCTGCCACGATGGTGCGGCTTTCGATGGCCTTGTGCACACGGCCGTTGTGCTCGAAGAGCGCGAACATGTTCCTGCTGTCCTCCATGGCCAGGCCGCGGATCAGCTTCTCCACCACCTGCCGGGAAGGGCATCAGCACGGGCAGGATGGTGCCCGCTGGACCCTGCCCCCAGGTACCCGCCTGATCTCCCTGCCCCTCTGCTATCTCGCTTTGTCTTCCCCGTGGTGGGACTGAACAGGGAGGGCACTGTAGCCATGAGCAGGGACAGAAGCGGGGCTGTGTCATGCAAATCCGTATGAGAGGGCAAAGCAGATGGACCAGGCCGGCTTCTTGCCTTTAGCTAACCACAATGAACTGCAAACCACAATGAACGGCCATGACTTCCAATGAAGCCCGGTGTTTCACTGCCTGACTCCTCTTAGCCAGTGGGGGTCAATGCTAAGTTTAGAGCTGGGTGTGGAGGTGCACACCTGTAATTCCTGTACTTAGGAGGCTGAGGCAGGAGGATCTCAGCACTTGGGAAGCTGAGGTAGGGGGACTGCCACAAGTTTAAGGCCAATTTGAACTAAAGAGTAAGATGCTGTGTCAAAACAAACAAACAAAATAGCAACAACAAAAAGCTAAGTTTTTTTTTTTTTTGGTCTTTTTTGTTTTTATCAGTACCAGGGATCGAACTCACGACTGCCTGCTTGTAAGGCAGGCGCTTACACCGCTGCGCTAAACCCCCAGCCCCCCAAAAAGCTAAGCCTAAAAAAGGACACTTGCTCATCTGACCAACATCTCGCCGCTCATGTGGTGGCCAGGACACTACGGAAGTCACATCACACAACCTCGCCGGGCTGAACACCGAGACGCTCTGCTGCCACTCAGGGCAGCAGGATTTTGTCGCAGGCATTTTGGCACAAGTTCAACTTCGTGTTTCCACTCGCCTTTCTGTTTGTTTGTGACAGGCTCTTGCTGTGTCCCCAGGCTGGCCTGGAACTCACAGTGACCTCCTGCCTCAGCCCTCCCAGTGCTGGGCTCACAGGTGTGCGCCCCACGCTGGCTCTTCTGCTCCTCTACAGCCCTGCTCATCCCGCCATCCGGCTCGGCCCTCACCTCCCCGGCCGTGGTGTGTGAGGTGATGGTGATCTTGCAGGACCCTCCACCATGGCAGTACACGGTGGACGTCATCTCCTGCCGGTGGATCAGCGCCTCGATCTCATCGCGGGAAGGCACGAACTCCCTGCACTTGGTCTTCTTCAGAGATTCGTAGATGAAGAGGGCGTATTTTTCCATCTCGGTTCCCGGAAACTGTTCCCGGATCCTAGGGGACAAAGGCGGACTGTTAGCTGGGTCTCAGGCCGGCTGGCCAGGCAGCCAGGTAGCCAGGTAGGGGCGCCCCCCAGTGGTGCAGAGAAGGAACAGCAGTTGCTTCCCCTGAGGACCCTGCTCTTCAGGCAGGGGTAAAGGGGACCCTTTTCCTGCAATGGGCCCAACTCGGACCATTCTACAATTAAAACGTACCCAGTAACATCAGGCATCATGTCGGAAACTTCAGGCAGACGGTAACATTTATGTTAAAAACAAAACACTTACTAATTAACACAAAAACCCCAGTAAAACAAGAAATAAAACTCTTAAGCCAGGCATGGTGGCACATGCCTATCAGCCCAGCACTCGGGAGGCTGAGGCAGGAGGATCATCACGTCATGGCCAAGGCCAACCGGGGCTACTTAGTGAGTTCAAGATCAACCTCAACTACACATACCTATCTTACAAATCCCATTAATAAAGAAACGAGTGAATGAATGAGTGAACATAAAAATGAATAAAACTTAACTACGAACAGAGGAAAGCCCAATGACACTGTTTCTAGCTCTCTGATGCTCAGACCCCCACGCCGGATGCTCTCTCCTACCCTGCCGGAGACTGCAGTGGAAGGGCCAGGCCCCGGTCCCCTGCCCAGGTGCATACCTTTTCAGGTGGAACTTGAGGTACTTGAGGATGCTGCGGCTGGGCAGGAAGGTGCAGCCCAGGCAGGCGAGGATCTGCCAGCTGTACAGGTTGCCCACGCTGCCGGGCTGGGGCACATTGCTGGTCTGCTTGATGAGCTGGCAGTAGAGCTCGTCCCGCAGCGGCCGGAGGTCATGGCCGGTCTGCAGGATGCCCTGGATGATGGGCACCGGGTCGGATACCGACTCCAGCTGCTGCAGCGAGTGGAACAGCTTGATGGCCTCGTCCTGCAGGGTGGTGTAGCCCTTGTCCTTGAGCACTGGGGAAGAAGCACAGTGTCACGCAGGGGGCACGGAGCGTCACCCCCAAATGTGGCACCTGGTGCACACAGCAGTGAACACAGTGGGTGGGTCACGCTGTCTCATTACAAGACACAACTTTTTCTGGGGATTGAGTCCAGCGCACTGTGCTACATCCCCAGCCCTCCCCCCTTTTAAATTTTTAAAATTTTGACACAGGGTCTCCCTAAGCTGCCCGGGTTGGGCTTATTAAACTTGGCATCCTTCTCCTGTCTCAACCTCCCAGAGTGTTAAGACTGCACATGTGTGCTACCATGTTTGATTTAGAACTGAACTTTTTTAGTCCATAAAATGCTAATTTAAAAGTTACTATACTGCTCAACGGGTTCCACACTTTGAATGCAAAATTGTTTTAAGATCTGTTTTTGTGGCAAAGCTGTTCCTTAAGGGCAACACCCTGATAAACTCATTCAAACTTGAAATCATCACAAAGTCAAAAATGCGCCGAAGCTGGGCATGGTGACACACACCCGCACAGCCAGCAGTCGGGAGGCTGAGGCAGGAGGACCACTAAAAATGTGAGGCCAGCCTGGGTTACACAGTGAGATCAAGGCCAGACTGAACTGCCCTGTAAGACTCTATAGCAAAACAGAAAACAAAAAAGAGGGCACAGGGCTGTAGAGCGCTAGAGTGCTTGTCCAGGATAGGTGAGCCTGAGTTCAACCCCCAGGAACACCGGCCCAGGAAAACTTAATGCTTCCCATCTGCCCACTATCAAGGCTTAGCCTCGTCTCTGAACACGCCCAGCACACCCATGAGCCTGCAGCTGGTGTTTCGCTTTAATCCAGATGTCCTGCTAAACAAAGCCCTATGCACTCATGACACCACTGGGTGCTCACAACTGCCTTGCTAGTAGGAGGCGGGGCCTGGCCCGGAAGAGGTGAGTCGCTGGGCGTGGCCTTGAGGGGCGTGGCCTCCGAAGCTCCTCCTTCCCCCTGCTTCCGTTCTCCAAGCTGTGAGCCCCCTCTGCTCCGCCAGACCACCAGGTCCCTAACCATGTCGCTGCCCTGCCTTGCAGCCAGCCACTACCGGACTGAAACCTTGACAGCCTGGCACCCTAACTCAGGCTCTCTTCTCGCTGGCCTTGAGCTCTCTTTATAACCTTGGCTAGCCTTGAACTTGAAATCCTCCTGCCTCAGCCTTCCGAGTGCTGAGATTACAGGTCAGCCACCACCACGCCTGGCTTGGTACCAGATACTGTGCCCCAGCAACAAGAGGAGCCACTGAGGCAGCTGGAAGAGTCCCCTAACCCACAGCCTGTTCTCTAACACAGCGGACGCAGCACGGTGGGTGCATGAGCGCCTCTCACACCCTCGTCCATTTCCCACAGCCCGGACTCACGGTTGAGGTTGATGTCGCCGTAGGGCAGTGGCAGCAGCGGGGAGTGCAGGGGGTGCTGGGTGTAGCGCAGGATCGGGTTGCGCTTGTAGATCTGCTCCACCACGTCGGGGTTCAGGCAGTTCTCCTGGGGGCACAGCGGGGCATGGGGATGGACGGACGCACAGGAGCAGCCGGTCGGCTCTCCCCACCCTCCACCCGACTCCCTGTGCTCTATTCTTCTTTGTTTTCCTTTTTTGTTCCTATTTTGAGGTCCTTCCGGAAGAGAAACCGCGCAGTACCGAAGCCTGTGCACCTGGCTGTCCTCCTGTCCCCTGGGCCCCAGGTGCGCCCACTTCCCCACATGTGACTCCGGTTTATCCTCCTTAAGGGCAGACTGACGCCCGGGTGTGTAAGCCCCAACTCTGCTCCACCCCGGCATCCCGCTATGAGCCAGTCATTTCAAGGACAAAGACAAACACCATTCGCGTTCAAGGCACATCACAGCTCATTCTGTTTCAGGTGTGTACAGGTCCTACGTTATTAAAACCACCCCACTGAGGGGCCGGGGATTTAGCTCAGTGGCATAAGTGCCTGCCTGGCAAGTGCTAGGTTGTGAGTTCAGTCCCTGGTACCAAAACAAAAAAGAAAAATAAAAAAAACTACCACCTTCAAGATTTTAATACACAGTACTTTAAAAATTGGATCAAAAAATAAATAAATACAATAAAAAGGGCTGGGGGATACAGCTCAGCAGCACAGCGCCTACCTGGTAAGTGCAAGGTCGTGAATTCAATTTCTGGTACCCAAAAAAAGGAACTTTCCCTCTCATGATTTGGCCATTCACCACGTTATCTTTACCTATACTTCATTTTAAAGGTGCACAGTGCTACTTCTTCTGTGTCTTTTCTGTACCCAGCCCCTACACATCGCATGTGCATGGACACGCTCCCTGCTTATGCTGCCTGCCCTAAAATCTGGGATTTGAAAAGGCCAAGTTATTTCCAGAACTTTAAATAAACAGAAAAGCCGGAGCAGAGGTGGTGAATCATTCTGTCACAGTCATTTCATTTCCACTATGAAAATTTTTCAGCAACACCCAGTGGGAAGTCAGAAAAAAAGTTTTAAAGTACTTTAAGTGTTCTGTGGACTTAATGAGGGCAATTTGTCTCACTTCTTAAGGCGCATCATGGAAAACTATTTATGCTTTGAATGTCTAGATTAATAATTACAAAGTATAAAAATAGATGTGCTACAGCTCTGAAGGGAAACTAGGGCTGATTATACTCTTAAACCCCCCCTCCAAAAAAAGAAAACAATTTTTTTTAAGGCTAAAAGTGAGCCTCTTTGTATCTGGCACCCTGAGATCCACCAAAGCTGTGGGCAACAACTGAGTCACCATCGTTTCTGAGTCACCACCGTTTTAGCGTCTTTTCTCTGTCACAGCTGACTGGGTCCTGCAGGCGGGGTCTGCCGCTCTGTGAACAACACAGCCAGGACGCCCCGGGTCTCCACTTCCTCTAACGTGTGTAAAACCCTTGCTTGTGACTGCCATTTAATCTTAGGTCCCTCAACTGACCCACAATTCCTGAGTAATTAAAGTTGTAGGCAGGAAATTACAACTGAACATGATTACTACTAATCCAGAGATGTGAAGCACCCGGATGTCTGGAGTGACTGACAGAATGTTCTAGAATGTTCTAGAATGTTCTGCCTGGACTGCCTGGACTACCTGGAATCCACTGGAGTGCTCTCAAAACCGCACAGTGGGCACAGAATTACTGGGTCCCCAACTGGAGCTGAGGCAGAACCTGTGACCACTGTCCCTCTGCTACCAGAGCCCAACAGCCGGGTTTCTCTCAGCAGCGGCAGTACCTAACTCCTTCTTGAAGGCCACACATTTTGTGTGAAATTTCAGTTAAACTGTCACATCTGGGTTCCTAGCTCAAGATGACCCCAGTGTTCATCGTGGTGACAGCATAAATCTGGAGGTGGCCCAACACCGAGGCCTTGGTGGCCCAGGGCGCCTCGCCTCACCTTGATGTCCTGGATCAGCTGCTGGGTCGGGGTGTCTATTGGGGCCTTGGTGTCGGTCACGTTCTGGATGGCGCTGGCCCACCTGGTGGCCTCGTTAAGCAGCTTGGTGTAGAGCCGGTAGCAGTGCTTGCGCCCGTACACAGTGATGTTCCAGTAGCCTGCAGGGACAGTGGCAGCGAGACACTGACGCTGGCCTCGGAGCTGAGGTGACGCTGTGGTGCCGGTCCCAGAACTCCGGCATCACTAGCAGCCTCTGTCCCCAGACCTCAGTGGAACAACTCAGGACTTAGTCATTTAATCCGACAGACGCTGAATCCTCCGTGCGCCATGACTCCCTCAAACTGTGGGGTTTCCAGTCAAGAGGTGACGACCGATATTCAGACAAGAAACCCACAGTGAGACACATACACGGTGGTATCTGTTCTCCAGGAGGGCTGGCGAAAGCCAGTGTCCCTCACTAGGGACACCTTTCTGGAACGAGCATGGAAACCAGGGTTGGCAGAGTCTGACTTTCCCTCCACTCTGCATCTCCATCAAAACACTGGGCTAAGCAGTCTGTGTGTTCACGGAAACCCTGCGGATTCCCAGATCTGACGTGCACAGAGCAACCATGGTTAAAAAAAACACAAAATCACAACTAGAAACAAAAACCCATGTCAGTTATCTTCCAGAAACACTTTTATAATACCACCCCCAAAATTCCTAAAACCAAAGCCATGCCAGGTGTGGTGGGTGGCACGTGCCTATAATGCCAGCACTTGGAGGCTGAGTCAGGAGGAACTACATGCTGAGACCTTCTAAGAAAATAAACAAGAACAAAATAACCTCTAGGCTTACATGCTTGTTTGTTATGTATCAGGCGAGCTAAGTTCAGGATTCACCTTTGTACGATAGACGTGGCATAATGGTGAAAAGAAAAAAACACAAGCTTGTGTAACGTAACAGCTCCTACGGATGGCCGCTTTGTGTCCATTTAGCTGCTTCAGGGCTGAGCAGGAAGCCACCTCCTGTGCCCGGAGCAAGCCGAGCCTGCAGCCTCCTGCTTACCTGTCTCTTTGAAGATCTTCTCGTCTGGGGGCACGACGGAGCAGAGGCTGTTGAGAACCAGCGTGCCCAGCTTCAGCGAGTTCTTCTCCGAGCTCTTGTAGTAGTCCAGGGAGTTGTGCGTCAGGACGAACCAGCGCTTCTTCAGTTTCAGCGAAGACATCTTGGGGCTGTTTTTCACCTCTTTGTGCAGCCACCCTGGAAAGGCAGGCTTGGTGTGAGTTCAAAAAGGAGGGAGGTGGGGGCGTGGGGAGACTGGGCTGCAGCCCCAGCTCTGCAAAGCTCACAAAGCAAGCGGGAGAAACCCCAGGTCCCGCGCCACTGTTTGTATAATGGATCGTATTATACAAACGCAGCCGATTTGCTGGAAAATAGCCAGGAGCAGCACACGTTTATTTTTAAAATCTTCCCACAGGAGTCCAAGCAACTCAGAACGGCCGCTGGGCGGCAGGCACCTCGCACGATGAACTCCTGGCCCTCCACGCGCGCGTCCCCCTTGCAGCGCTGCAGCAGCGTGATCCAGTGGTGCATCTCCTCGGGCGCGTCGGCGTTGCAGTGCAGCACGCGGTTGGCCGTGATGATCACGAACGAGTTGGGCCTGAGGGACAGGGTGGGAAGAAGCAAAGGTGGGTTCAGCATCTCCGCCCCCTGCGCCTGCGCCAAGACTGAGCGAAACGCATCCTCCCTGGCTGCGGTCAGGAGGACGCGCGCTACTGCACGGCTGACTCGCGCTCTGCACCCAGGCCGACTCTGCTCGGTCCTGCAGGATTTATTTCATGCATTGTTAGCCTTGAAGCGCATTCATTCAAAAGGACACGGGAGGAAAATGTTTCTCCATGCAAAACTTTCCAGATGAAACTCAAGATTCTGGGAAGGCTAAATAAGGTGACCACGGGGGAAAATTTTTTTTTTTGATGTCTTTCCAAAGTCAACTGCTTTCTGCCTCTGGATGTTGCCTGGGATATTTCTGTGGGTCAGGAAGGGAAGAGCAAACTGGGACAGAGGAAGAGCACATGGGTAGAGGTGGAACTGGAACTTCTCTTGTGCTGTGCTGTACCTGGGGTAGGAAAGCCCCTGGGCTGTTTTTTTGAAGCAGTCTAAGAGGGTGCCTATTTCCCAGCCAGGGAGAGTGATAAGGAGAATTTACTTTCAATTTTTGCTCTTTGGGTCTCAAAGGCTGCAGCTCCTCTAATGGTTCAAACTACACAGTGCAAATTCTGTCTCCCAAGTTTCCAGGTGATTACTTTGGTGAAGCAGAGCTCGAGAAAAAGAAGTTTAACTAGACAGCGGTGCACAGCGGAATTAATGCACAAGAGTTGGAACGCAGTCCTTTAAAAAAGAAAAAGATTTTTCTACAGTTGGGAAGGAGAAGGGTGGCACCTGAAGAGGGAAAAATCTGAGTAAGATGTAGAGTCCCACCACCAGGTGTCCAGCCTGCTGAGGAGCAGTCTGCGTCAAGAAAGGGCAGGTGCCACAGGAGGAGTTCGGGTTTGATGCCTGAATTGAAGGTACTGAAGGTTTTGGTGTAAGGCAGAGGAAAAGTGCGGCATGAGATGGTCCAGGAGAGCCACAGCTGACGAGGGCTGGCAGCGACCCAGGGGTCTGGTGTGCCAGTCAGACGCTGGCTTCCGTTGCTGTCGGTTTTAACACACTCAGACTCACTTGGTGGCGGTGACAGCAAGGGCGGAAGTCAGTGTTAATTCTCACTGTGGTCCCAGCAATGTCTCTCTCTCCGCTATTTGTCCCAAGTAGAATATTTACCTATAGTTACTGTCTCCCCAACGCTTCATAGCGGGGAGTTTCAAAAGTGGCTGGATTAGGGGATGTGATACCCAGATGGAGGTCCGGACAATGCAACTTCCCAGGTGTGGGTGGCATTATCGGTGGGCTTATAGGATGGACAGAAGATGAAGGGACAGAGACAAGACAGGTTCGTCTGGGCTGCTGCTGCTTGCCGCCTTCCGCCTGCCCTGCCATGGACTGCTTCTCCCGTCACGCCACCCTATGTTGCTCAGGATGGAAAGAAACCTCTACAACTGTGAGCTGAAATAAACCTTTCCTTCTTTAACTTTGGGTGTCAGATATTTTATCTTGGCAGCAGAAGAAACCAAGACACTGAACACTGAGGTGAAACAGCTCTGCACAGACTAGCTCCCTGAAACCTAATCATCTGTTTTTAAGATCTGATCAGACTGCCACCCTGGCACGTAACTGGGCAGTGTGGGTGTGGGTGGTGTCCGGGCCTCATGTCAGTGAGGATTTGGCCCCCTTTTTATTTTTATTCGTCCATGTGCTATTTCAGGGGATGGGAAAAGCAGCCATGTGAAGGGAAGAAATGTATGGGGTGCAACCGATTCATAATCTCCATGCACGTTATGATCAAAGTCCTTTTCAAAGCTGCCATTCAATTTAGGGAGAGCAGCTACCACTGCCAAGCTGGAACCCCGTTTAGCTTGCGCCTGAACCCTGTTCCTGTCTCTGTCCCAACAGAGGTCCTTGCTCTGATGCTGCAGCCTTTGGAAACTCATCATCTAAATGAGTTGTCTCCTCTCTGAAGTCAGCCAGCCGCACAGGAACACTCACTTTCAAGGTGCTGTAACAGCTCAGAAGACTAAACACAGCCCAGCACGACCTCAAGAGACCAGAGCAGCCACTGAGCAACCTGTGGCCGGCCACACGGTGCTAAGTCACTTTGGTTTTTGTGAGACACAGTCTCGCTATGTACTGCAGGCTGGCCTTGAACTTGCTGAGATTCTCATGCCTCAGCCTCCTGAGTGCTGGGAATCACAGGTGTTCTTAAATCCCTTCTGTCCGGCGCCACACCTGAGCTTACCTGTCGGGGTTGTCCGAGGCACACACAGAATCGATCAGCCCCACATCCAGCGTGCCCTGGGGAGGAGCAGAGAGCAGTGAGAGGCAGTGCACAGGTCTGCATATGCACAGGGCCCCCACTTGTGCAAGCCAAGAAGACACCGCAGTCTCTTTTGGCTGCCTGGGGGATTCTACTTCTCTAGAAAGCTGCTCTCGGCTCAGGGAACACAGCAGGCTAGAGACAGGGAGGAACCCGAAATCTTTCCTCTGGGTAGGAGAATGTGTCCCTCTGTCCTGTTCTTAAAATAGTTCCCATGCAAAGCACTTTATGGGCTTCTCTCAATGGTGTGTTTTCCAGCCGGGCTACGCTCTCCGGCTGTTTTGAGCTTTGCTTCCGGTACGAGATCTAATGCCTCTGACCTCTGTTGCTGGGTTCGGTTCTCAGCTCCTACCCAACCTGCTACAGCCCAAGGGTCGCGCGCTCCCTGGACAGCAGAGGCATGGAGCCGGCTCCACCCTTCTCCTCGATCTGTGGTGGAGAATGGGGAGCACCGTGACTTCCAAACCTCTGTCGTCCACTGCTTTCCTACAGCATGGTTTTTAAACCAAATGACCTTGCCTTCCTAATTTTCAGGCTTAAAAGACAGAGTCCAGGGGCAACTTCCGGCCACTCCCTCACAGCCCGGCATCCAGGCGTCCCATCGTCCACACTCACCACGGCGTTCTGTGGGTTGGCCTGCTCGTCGTGCATCTCCCGGATCTCCTGCTCCGTGGACGCATGCACCTGGCTCAGCACGCTGAACCACTGGCTGTGGAGAGAGGGCGCGGTCAGGAGTGCCCCGCGAGAGAGTGACGTCCCGGTGCGTTGGATTTGAGGCAAATGTGGGGTTCCTTTGTATGTTAGAGTGGCCAGGGTACCCTTAAACACCACATGTTTCTAACCGAAGTCAAGATCCTTGCTCTCAGGAGGCTGAGGCAGGACAACCCCAGCCAGTTCAAGGCCACCCTGAACTACACAGTGAACAAAAGCCAAGGGCAGACCCCTCTCTAGTGCGACAGTCCTTCAGACACTGAGGAGGTCAAGTCCCTTGGGAAACTGGTAGCAAATAATGAAATCCTTGCTTCTACTTAAAATGATTCTATTCAGGACAGTAACTGAATATTCCTTAATCCCAGAAGACACCCAGGTGCCTTCTCATCCTTAAAAGTAAGTGTGGAAGGGGGAAGGCTGAAACTGTGAGAGCGCCAGCACCTCGGAGCGGCCACCCGACACCCACTCCCGTGGGGGAGTTTCAGCTGCCCAGCAGAAGCAATGCTCGAGAGAGGGCATCAAAGCTTTAAGCACAAAGTAGAAAATGGTCTGAGCACAGAACAACTCATTCCTCACTTCCAGCCTCCTTGAATGGGACAAGGAAGTGAAATGTGCCAACTCCAGAAAGATCCAGCAGAACGAAAATCCTGATTAACTACAAATGTGAGTTATGTGGAGAAGAACCACAAGGTCAGCCATCCATCCAACCACCCATCCGTTCATCCCATTCATCATCCATTCTATCCATCCACCATACATCCCAACCACCCATCCACCTGCCCTTTCCAGCCATCCATCCACTCATCCCATCCATCAGTCTATCTGTGCACCACGCATCCACCCCACCCATCCCAAACATCACCCACTCATGCTGTCCCTTCACCTTCCCACCCACGCCCTCTCCCATCACATCCACCCATCCTGCATTTACTGAGCAACCACAGCACAGCAGAGGCTGCACATGTAATGGAAGCTGGGCTCCTCCTCCTGCCTGGCCTGAAAGGCGCACAGATCACTGCTAACAGGGCAGAGAACAGCACATAGCACGCGGTGGGATATTGAAGTGAAGAAGTGAAGTCGTCAGCCACTTAGATAACCCGTGAAACGGCAGGCCTTTAAGTGTACAGCCGAGCACAAAAACCCATCTCCTCCTGTGATACTTGAAGGAGAAAATGTGAACAACAGTTTGAAAGATGACCCAGGAAAATGCCTTCATATGAACTCGCTCCATCGTCCTGGTTAACCAGAACCAAGTCTACAGTGACTGACAAAACCCCAAACTCTTCCTCAGTCAAGCTGGGTGTGCTACTGCATGCCGTGACCCCAGCACTCTGGGAGGCTGAAGCAGGAATATAAACAAGCCCAGTTTTAGTTACCTGGCAAGATCCTGTCTCATTTAAAAAATGAAAGCCAGGTGTGGTGGTGCACATCTGTAATCCCAGCACTTGAGAGGCTGACACCAGAGGATTGGTGCAAGTTCAAGACCAGCCTGGGCTACAAAGTGAGCTGGAGACCAGCCCAAGCTGCATAGTGAGAGCCTGTCTCAAAAAAATAATAAATAAATGAATACATTTTTTAAAAGGCCTGGGGATGTAGCTAGTGCAAAGGCCCAGGATTCAACTCCAGGTACAAAAGCCCAAAACTCCTGAATGGAACATTGCAAAACACATAAGTTTTTTTTTTTTTTGTCTTTTTCGTTTTTATCGGTACCAGGGATTGAACTCACGACTACCTGCTTGCAAGGCAGGCACTTATGCCGCTGAGCTAAATCCCCAGCCCCCAAAACACATAAATTTAAGGTACACATTATACCATATGGAATCATAAGACACAAAGGAATAAAATCCGAATTTGCTGAACTTCAGCCTATGAAGATACCCTTCAAGTTGTAAGTATCTCTGCTGAATCAAGTTACAGCTTGGAATTTGAAAATAGGTCCCATGGCTGCGGGAAAGGCCTTGGCTAAAAGCTTCCAAAGGTTAAATTTAGCAGGTCCCTGCAGACAGGGCAGCTGTCTAGCTGTAACTGAGCTGAACGGCCGTGTGCCTTCCCGGCAGGACAGAAAACCATGCAGGCACCCCAGACGGAACGACGGGGCTGTAATTTCAGGTTTGCTTGTTTTTGTATTTCGTGTTGTAATCTGTGAGTTCACCCAGGGGTTCAGTTTGTTCCCATGGGAGGAACAGCTTTCTGGGGCCCTGCTACCGTGGTATTACAGCGATCTGGAAACTTTCCCAGGGCAAGGGTTAGCGAGGTCCCAAGAACTTAAGCAGAGTCCCAAGGCTGAGAGTAGAATGTGAGCCAGCTGATGTAACAACGCAGAGGACAGTCACCAGTGTCACCCTGCAGACCTGCGGGAGAAGAGCATCACCCCTGCATGTTACAGCACAGTGCCCTGCAGATGCATCTAGCTGAAGAGCAAACGCGGTCTCCTGCTATGGTTTAGATCCTGACAGTCCCCCAGCCTCTCCTGCCTCGGAGGTGACTGGACTGAAGAGGCAGGGCACTAGTGGTGGCCTGCACGGTGTGTAGCCCCTGTTTCCTGTCCACCAAGAGCAGCTCTCCGCACCAGGCCCCTGCTTCATTCCGTTCTGCCCTGGAGCCAGCTGCCTGGGGACTGAGACCTGTGCACACTGTGAGCCAAAAGTCAGCCTCGCCTCTTTTAAGCTCTGTAAGTCAGATATTTTGTCACAGTGATAAGAAAAATAGCTACAACAGTGCTGCAGTACCCTGAGGTACTCCCCGAGGTTCAGAAACTCAGGCAGTGCTGTCCAGCCAGTGGGGGACACCACTTTCCTCCTGTCTAGGTCAAACATCTAAGGAGCCTAAAAAAGAAATGTGGGATGCTTAGTGCCTCCGCCCACCAGAACAGAGCTTGGATCTCAGATGATGCCGCCCTCTCTTTGTAGCTGCCTCCCATCCTGCAGGGTGCAGGCCGGGGTAACAGTGCCGGCCCAACAGGACCAGTGAAGTGACCCGTGTGACACACTGGCTGCTGCCCGCAACACCGTTACGTAAGCCAGTGTCTTCTGCAGAGAGTGCCTAATGTGAAGACTTTAAAAATGCCCCCAATATGTCAGTGTCATCTTTCATTTAGCCCTGCTGTTGTTCTTCTGACCCTTTTGCAAACACGAGCCGTTCACGTTCAAGCCTCAGACTCTTCTCGAAGGCGGCCCCTGAGCTCAGCTCGTACATGTGCTGGTGACACCACGGGCCAGAGCTGAGATGAACGGGTCTGCGTGGAGGCACCGAGGGCTGGAAATGCTGAGCCCGTGTGGTACCCACATGCTTCCACCCAGAGGAGGACCCCGGATTGGGGGGCCCATGCTTCTCTTCCAACTCAGTTCTCCCACTGGCCTGAGAGAAGACCTCACTATGGTCAGCGAAGCCCTCTCAGAGCCAGTAGGGTGAGGCTGCTGCCAGGCCAAGGGTGGACATGCAGGGGACATAGTTGATGTTCACCTGGCGTCTTCCGGTGACTCGGCGATCAGGTGGAAGGTCCGGTCGCCCATGATGATATCAATCCCGTTCTCCTTGCTGGTGTTATCGATGATCTCTCTGCAAAGAGAGGGGAGCAAAGGTGGAACCTGGGGACGCGGAATTCTGAGTCACAACCAAAAAGAGCCGTTTTGTGAAGCGACTAAGTTGGAAACAGTTTGAAATGTGGTCCCCACTTTTCCATGAAGGGGTTCCCAAATAACCCACAAATCCCAGAAACCAGAGAGCGCTGCACCCCATCTGAACGATGTCTCTCTCTCTCTCATAGGGCTAAGCATCCCTTATCCAAAGTGCTGGAGACCAGAAAGTCTGATTGCGGATGTCTGCAGCTAATGCTGTGTTTTCAGGACAGGACCTGAGGCCGACCATAGAATCCATTCCTGCCTCCCACACACCCGACACAGGAGCCTGAAGGTGCTTTTGTCTGACTGGTGTTGAGGTCTGAACCCAGAGCTCTGCATGCACACATTCATCAGCTGAGCCACCCCTAACCCATCACAGACACACGAGTCACAGGCACAGCCCGTCCATCAGGGGCCTGGGCGAAGGCTGGGGGAGGTCGGACTCCGTATCATCTGGGTCCTTTCCAACATCTCCTAAGCAGCACCTGAGACAAGAACCCAGGGCCAGGCTAACACGGGCAGGGTAAGACGCAAGCGAACGTTAGGACCAGAGCCGGGACGATGGTCGATTTGATGTGGGATCCTGCTAACAGCACACACTCATTTTAGAACCATGAAGCGGAATGCTCTCACTGTTTAGGACAGATGTACGACTTCCTGTGAGTCTAGTTTCACCAGCCCTGTGGTGCATGCCTGTCATCCCAGCCCTCCGGAGGCTGAGGCAGGAGGATTGGCCTGAGTCTGAGGCCAGCCTGGGCTACACAGCTGAGGACAAAGCCAGCTTCAAGTACACAGTAGTGAGACCTTGTCTCAAAAAAACCAAACAACAACCACAAGACTCAGAGAAACAGTCTGGTTCATAAACGAGTACAGCCAGCTCTGTGTATCCACAGCCTCTTTACTTACAGGTTCAATGAACAGCAGATGGGAAATATTCAAAAGGGGAAGTAGCACCTGTGTCAAATATAGGCTTTTTGACTTATTAGACCGGAAAGAATACAGTCTGTCTAACATTTATTGATTTATTTTTGATCTTTTTGAGACAGGATCTTACTATGCAGTTCAGGCTGGCCTTGAGCTCACATTATAGCCCAAGCTGGTCTCAAACTTATAATGATCCTCCTGCCTCAGCCTCCTGAGTGCTGGGATTACAGGTGTGCACCACCATACCCAGCTTACCTATTGCTTATATCACACTAATTATTCTTTTTTTTTTTTTTGATGCTGGGAATTGAACTCAGGACCTTATAATTGCCAGGCAGATGCCGTGACACGGAGCTATATTCCCAGCCCTCAGATTTGTTATCGGAAGCAATCAAGAGATACTTAAAATTGAATATTCAGGGGTTTCTGTACCCCAGGGGCCGGGAATATCTCAGAACCAATGCTCTATGCATTTCGAGTTGGGGAGTCCCACCATCGTGTGACTCCTAATGTATTAATACTATTAGGAAATGACAAAGTCAACCCAAAGCCTGCAGAAGGGGACCCCACCCACGCAGCAGACAATGCAGGCTACCTGGTAGGCAACTGAGGTTCCACAGTGAGAAGAGAGGCTGTCACTGTTAACAGAGTAGTGGGATTGCACAGCATTCTAGACTTTTTTTTTTTGAGTTGGGGATCGAACTCATGACCTTGCGCTTGCCAGGCTAGGACTTGCACCACCGAGCTAAATCCTGGCCCTTAGAAGATCCTTTAATCACACACCAGGACATTAACAGCATATTTACAGGCTGACTGAGGAGAAGCCCAGGTTGGGGAGCCTTAAGGGACAGCTGTGGGAACCCTGCTGGATGAGGGGGTCAGTCTTGGAAAGCTGCAGATGAGGCTCTGGCTGTGGAATGTTCTTCTCCGACCGATGCTTAAACATTGCAAGATACAAAGTCCTAACAGGACTGCAGCCCTTCCAGGGGGAGAACTAGCAGTGTCTCCTGAGATCCACGCCATGTTGGAGCTCAGGACTCTGGGAAGCCAAGCCAGCATCTCCCCTCCCTGTAAGCGGAGGCAGGGTGGCAGCCTGCAGCCCTTCCAGGGGGAGAACTAGGAGTCTCTCCTGAGATCCACGCCATGCTGGAACTTAGGACTCTGGGAAGCCAAGCCAGCACCTCCCCTCCCTGGTAAGTGGCGGTAGTTTAGCCCACTGCAGCCCTTCCAGGGGGAGAACTAGCAGTGTCTCCTGAGATCCACGCCATGTTGGAGCTTAGGACTCTGGGAAGCCAAGCCAGCATCTCCCCTCCCTGCAAGCGGAGGCAGGGTGGCAGCCTGCAGCCCTTCCAGGGGGAGAACTAGGATTCTCTCCTGAGATCCACGCCATGCTGGAACTTAGGACTCTGGGAAGCCAAGCCAGCACCTCCCCTCCCTGGTAAGCGGCGGTAGTTTAGCCCACTGCTGCAGCCCTTCCAGGGGGAGAACTAGCAGTGTCTCCTGAGATCCACACCATGTTGGAGCTTAGGACTCTGGGAAGCCAAGCCAGCATCTCCCCTCCCTGTAAGCGGAGGCAGGGTGGCAGCCTGCAGCCCTTCCAGGGGGAGAACTAGGAGTCTCTCCTGAGATCCACGCCATGCTGGAACTTAGGACTCTGGGAAGCCAAGCCAGCACCTCCCCTCCCTGGTAAGTGGCGGTAGTTTAGCCCACTGCAGCCCTTCCAGGGGGAGAACTAGCAGTGTCTCCTGAGATCCACACCATGTTGGAGCTTAGGACTCTGGGAAGCCAAGCCAGCATCCCTTCCAGGGGGAGAACTAGGAGTCTCTCCTGAGATCCACACCATGTTGGAGCTTAGGACTCTGGGAAGCCAAGCCAGCATCTCCCCTCCCTGTAAGCGGAGGCAGGGTGGCAGCCTGCAGCCCTTCCAGGGGGAGAACTAGCAGTGTCTCCTGAGATCCATGCCATGCTGGAACTTAGGACTCTGGGAAGCCAAGCCAGCACCTCCCCTCCCTGGTAAGCGGCGGTAGTTTAGCCCACTGCTGCAGCCCTTCCAGGGGGAGAACTAGCAGTGTCTCCTGAGATCCACACCATGTTGGAGCTTAGGACTCTGGGAAGCCAAGCCAGCATCTCCCCTCCCTGCAAGCGGAGGCAGGGTGGCAGCCTGCAGCCCTTCCAGGGGGAGAACTAGGAGTCTCTCCTGAGATCCATGCCATGCTGGAACTTAGGACTCTGGGAAGCCAAGCCAGCACCTCCCCTCCCTGGTAAGCGGCGGTAGTTTAGCCCACTGCTGCAGCCCTTCCAGGGGGAGAACTAGCAGTGTCTCCTGAGATCCACACCATGTTGGAGCTTAGGACTCTGGGAAGCCAAGCCAGCATCTCCCCTCCCTGTAAGCGGAGGCAGGGTGGCATCCTGCAGCCCTTCCAGGGGGAGAACTAGCAGTGTCTCCTGAGATCCACGCCATGCTGGAACTTAGGACTCTGGGAAGCCAAGCCAGCACCTCCCCTCCCTGGCAAGCGGCGGTAGTTTAGCCCACTGCAGCCCTTCCAGGGGGAGAACTAGCAGTGTCTCCTGAGATCCATGCCATGTTGGAGCTCAGGACTCTGGTATGCCAAGCCAGCTTCTCCCCTCCCTGTAAGCGGTGGCAGGGTGGCAGCCTGCAGCCCTTCCAGGGGGAGAACTAGCAGTGTCTCCTGAGATCCTCGCCCTGTTGCAGCTTAGGTCTCTGGGAAGCCAAGCCAGCATCTCCTCTCCCTGTGAGTGGAGGCAGGGTGGCAGCCTGCAGCCCTTCCAGGGCGAGATCTAGCAGTATCTCCTGAGATCCATGCCATGTTGGAGCTTATCTCAATCTCTCCCTTATTCTTTAAAAAATTATTTAGTTATTTCTTATGTTTGTCTTAATTAAGGGGAAAAATTTAAAAAAAATTAGCATATTTTATAGTAACTCTTTTTGATATCCTATTAACTTGTTTTGAAGTCCTGTAATGCTCCCACGATCTTGTTTTGACTGATTAGACTCTGTTCCATTCTATATGATAATATCAAGTTTGAGGGTATAGGCAACTACTTTGAAGGCAATAAGATTCACTAAGTTGCCCATTCTGGTTTGACTATTGTCTTCTTTGGAAGTCCTGTAATGTTTACAATGCCTAAGTTTTATTGGTCTTGTTCCCTACTGTTTTGTCCAACTTTATAATATATAATGAGATAGACTATTCTTTTTAAGGAAACAAGAGACAACTTTGATAACCATTGTTGATAACCTTGTACTCTGTTCTACATCATGTGCTATGTCTATCCTTGGTTTTGACTGACAGCTTTGTTTTCCATATTTGACTTTATTCTCTCCCCCCAAAAAAGTAATAAGAACTAAGGAGTAATAAAATCCAAAAAGTGTAAATTTTGTTGTAAAAAAGAGAGGGGAAAAAAAGAGCTCTAACGGATATAACAGCAAGTGTGTTTAGGGGTGTTAAATAGCTGACTATATTAATGTTTTTGGATCATTGAACACAGCTGTTTGCAGTCTCTCTGTTTGAATGTCCACTTTGTATTCTTTGATACTGTGATTTGAGCAACTATTTCCAAGATGATAATATGTAATCTATTAGCAGGTGATTCCTTACTATTATGTTTTTTTTTTTTTGTAGTTCTGTATTACGTGTACCCTTACACCGCTTTGTTTTGTTTTGTGTTTTTCTCTTTTTCCTCTTAAATAAAATTAAAAAAAAAAAAAAAAAAAAAAAGTCCTAACAGGAAACCCTTGGATCCCGCTGCGCTGCACATTGGAAACAGTGAAGAGCTGCCACCTGTGTAACTCGAGAGCACAGCCTCATTGGGAAGCACTCGGGGGACAGCAGCAGGGACACAAGAGAACCCCCAGGACCCGCTTCAGACACCCAGGCCCACGGGAGCTCACAGACCCCGGAAGATGGCACTATATTCTGCACTGGCTGTCGGTGGTCACCCAGCAGCTCGTCCAGTGGGCGCACTCTGCAGAGCTGGCTAGCTAGGACTCTGGGAGGTGTAGGACAAGGGGAAAAGTGGCTTATATGTGATTAGTAAAGAAGGGACTCTTAAAACCTCGTGTGGTGGGGTACTCCCAGCACTCGGGAGGCTGAGGCAGGAGGACCATTGTGAGCTCGAGACCAGCCTGGGCTACAAAGTGAGCTCCAGGCCAGCCTGAACTGCAGATGTGACTCTTCTCTCCATCGGCAGGTGTGGAAGCTGTGGCCACGGGGCCCAGCTGGACGGTACTTTGGTGACGGTGAGCATGCTCAGCCTCCTGGAACCGGCAGCCCCATCGATGGGGCACATAAGAGGACATCCTGGGGTACGAGCTGGGAACAGACAGTGGGGGTCCCCGGAGTTGTACCACACCCTGGGATTCAGACCCTGGTGCCCCACTGCTCTTGCTCCTAAGGAACTGAAAGGGTGGCCCAAGAGGCCCAACACTCTGCTGCTTGTACTTTACTGTTCATCCTGAGAACTAAATCCACCACGGCCTCACTTCTCTTTTCTGTCCCCGGGAGCCTCTGCCTGAGTGGCCGATGCTGGCCAGTGAGACATGATGTCCTGTTCCCAAGCCTCTCGACCTCTGGGGTGACCTGATCTGAGAGCAAATCCTGCCACTTCCCTGTCTCTGCGGTTCTGCTGGTGGAGTGTGGAGCAGTGTTACAGGCCACCCCCAGTGTGCTTCTGTGCTTAGAGCCTGGTTTTCCAAGAAAGCCAGCTGCCCCGTCCCCTACCATGCCAACTGGTTTCTGAAAACATTTTTAACAACCAACCAGGGCCCTTGATTGTCCAAGCTGTGGCTGCATGGATTTAGGGACCAGCTCTGCCCCTTTGCTGGCGGGAACTGGGAGGGCAGCGTAGACAGTGCAGGAAAATTAGATGAAGAATTCATTTTAAAACAGATCTCCAAGGGTCAGCCTGCTCCTGCGTGGACTTACTGTCTCTACTGGACCCTCATCAGCTGCTCAGTATTTACACCATTTTTATGCCATATACAATTATATTTGGTGAATTATTTTCTAATAAATTCTTTTTTTTTTTTTTGGTTTTGTTTTTTGTCAGACAGGGTCTTGCTATGCAGTGGAGGCTGTCCTTGGATTTACTACGAAGCCCACGCTGCTCAAACTCATGGCGATCCTTCTGCCTCAGCCTCCCATGTGCTGGGGTGACAGTTGTGCGTCTCCCTGCCTGGCTTGGTTAAATCACCTTTGGGACCCCTACACTCTTAGGAGCTAAGCATCGGAGCCTTGCGGTCGGGGGAGCCAGGCTCCCGCCGGGCGCCCACCTACCTGGCCATCCGGACCTCGATGGTGCCCCTGAGCTTCTCCTCGCTGTCGTTCTCGAAGTACATCAGCTTGGCCTGGCGCAGCACGAACCAGCGCCTCTTCCAGTTCCTCCGCGACAGGGTGGACGAGCCGCCACCCTTCTTGTGCAGCCAGCCCTGCTTGAGGGCCTCCTGCTTGGAGCGAAACCACAGGAAGGTCTCGTCCTTGAGCACACACCAGCGGCGCTTCCAGGAGTTCATGAGGCCGCCTGCGCCCGGGCGGGGAGAGAAACAGCGGGAAACCTCGGTCAGAGGTGTTATGCAGCTGGCTTTTTAGAGACAACAGTCTCACTGTGTAGTTGAGGCTGGCCTGGAATTTGAGGTGATTCTCCTGCCTCAGCCTCCTGTGTGCTGGAATAACAGGAGCCCTCCTGGCTAGGAAAAGCCAATCAAACTTCTGCCCAGGCTGAAAAACACTCTGAGACCCTCTACTGCAGGCAGAGATGTGTGCCATGTGCAGGGCACACTGGACACTGCAGCAGTGTGGCCATCACACAGGGTCATGGCCTTTTTCTATGCCCAAACCCAGCTCCTGCACACTTAGTTGACCATCTGTGTAAGGAGGTCACAGGAAGGCGGGTAACAAATTGCCACTCTGACCCACAAGAGAGTCAGAGTCACTTCTGGGTCACTAAGTTGCCCGGGTTGGGTTTGAACTTGTGATTCTCCTGCCTCTGCCTCCCAGAGTATTAGACTTACAGGTGTCCCTGTGCCTGGCTCAGATGTTATCTTTAATAGGATAAAAAAATTGTTACTTTCTAGATGGATAATTTCATTTTAGTTTTCTAGATTCGCTAAAGATACCCGAATATTTCCCCATCATTCAAAAATCTGTTTCACTTAGTTCACTGAAGAACACAGTCCATTCTAAATTGTCTACACGACTTGTCTGCTCAACCAGTTAAATGTCGCCTAAGTAGGCATACATAATGCTCCCTTTTCATAGACTGCAAAATAAATTTAACAGAACTTTTCTTTTTCCTTTTTTGAGCCAGGGTCTCACTGTATAGTTCTTTCTGGCTTCAAACTCACCATCCAGCCTGGGATCCTCCTGCCTCAGCCTCCTGATGGTTGGAAGTACAGGGAGGTACCACCACACCTGCCTAGGATCCTTCTCCAGTGACTGCAGGGATTGCAGACCAAGCCTCCCTCGGGAAGAGACACAGGGATGGCGGCCCCGGCTGGTGCTCAAAACAGTAAGGGCCAGTTCCCTGGCCTCACCACGTGATGGTAACATCCTCCCTCATTACCCCAGAAGAGCCTCCGGCAGGTTGGGCGTGCTCCAGAGCTGTTTCCAGCAAACTTGCCAAGGGACATGAGCCACACAGTATGACTGCAATTGTCTGGCCTGAGAGTCTAACCTGGGTCCCCTAAATCAAGCCCAGAGGACAGATGTGGCCCCCAGCTGCCTCCTCATCTCATCGTCTTCCTGCGGCAGCGTCCACACAGCGGCGTCACCCTGCCTGGCTCTTAGCAGCGCCCAGAACCACTGCTGTGGAGTCCAGGGATACTGAAACCCTGACCAAGGCTGTTCACCCCAAGACCATCGCCTCAGGAGCCGCCTGCAGGAAAGCTGATCTGCACGGCTGACCGCCTGCCTCTACTTCTTTCATAGGGTTCTCTGCAAAGTATGAGCACTGTTTCATTAAAGACTTTACTAAAGATTAAATGCTGCTGCACCTACAGAATCTCTGCTCCCATAAGCTCTACCCCAAACAGCTCAGAGGGGAGAAGCCTCCCCTGAACCAAGCCTGTGGGGTTATATTGTAAGCCTGAGGCAGACACAGCAAATTTGAAAAGCAAATGACTAATGTGAGTCCTCAGACTCAGATATCAGAAGAACAAGCAGCAGGACAGGGCCTGGTGGAACTGGAGGCTGAGGCAGGAGGGTCACTGCAAGTTCAAGGCCAGCCTGAGCTACAAACTGAGTTCAAGGCTAGTTTGAACTGCATAGTGAGACCCTGTCTCAAACAGACCCTGGCAAAAAACAAATAAACAAAAATCTAAAAAAAAAAAAAAAACCCAACAAAACGAAACTGAAGACATCAAACAAAAACATAAGCGAAAAGTGAAGCTGGGCGCAATGGCATACCCGTCATCCCAGCACTCAGGAGGCTGAGGCAGGAGGACCACAATGAGTTAAGAGGCTACCCTGGGCTACAGTGTCTCAAAACACAGAGCCAAACAAACAAGTCTTAGTTCCCACTGCCCTAGGCCACGCTGCCCGGGGCCACAGACCGCACCTTTCATGTACAGGAAGCTGTGGAAGTAGGGCAGCGTGACACAGCTGTACACAGAGTCCCGCCGGTAGGACAGCTCGTCGTCCGTGTCGAACCTGGAGTCAAAGTCCTCTTCGCTGTCTTCAAACTAGACAAGGAGAGGGGCCCGCAGTCAGCAAGAGGAGGAGAGACAGGCAAAGAACACGCCCAGCATACAGCCCAAGTGTGGGGTCCAGGAGGAAGAAACACTCCCTGTTACACTGCTGCCCAGAGGGCGGTGACCAGAGGAGCCCGGCACGGCAGAACACCAAGCTTTATGCCAGGCGTGTGCCGCTGCATTCCTGTCATGCCAGCACTCAGAAAGCTGCGGCAGGACAGGAGTTCAAAGCCAGCCTGAACTACACAGTGAGACTGTCTCAAAGAAACCAAATCAACAAGCCCGAAGCTTCTTCCCTTATAAGCAGCTCACTAAATAACACCGTGCACCTTGGGCTTTGGAGTCCGCAAGGCTAAGGGGCCAATCACACCGTGTTTCCTCAGGCCTTGGGCCAAACTGAATCCCAAACAGGCAGATTCTGGCATTTGCAAAATTTAAGATTATCTCTAAACCCCTGCTTGGGTTTGTTTGTTAGTTTGTTGTCTTTTTGAGACAAGGTCTAGCTATGCAGTTGAGGCTGGCCTTGGACTCACTTTGTAGCCCAGGCTAGTCTCACTCGGGCCTCCCAAGTGCTGGCATTACAAGGGCATGCCACCACACTCGTGTTTGGTTTGTTTTTTGTTTTGAGACAAGTCTTGCTGTGTATCCCAGGCTGGCCTTGAACTCTTGGCCATTTGGCTTCACAGACATTTTTGGTTTAGGAGTCTGTTGGTCCTTATCTATCTGTCTATCTGTTTAGGGTTTGCTAGGTAGTTTCCCTCTGAACTTTGCCTGCAGCTTAGGCTGGCCTTGAATTTGAGCTAATTCTTCTGCCTCAATTTCACAGATGTTGGATCACAGACATGACCCATGTTTGAGATGCTGATTTTTTTCTTGTACCGGGTTCAAGCTCAGGATCATGGGCTTGCAAAGCATGCGCTTATGCCACTGAGCTAAATCTCCGGCAGGATCCTGATTTTTAAATCTCTGGTTTAGGGAAATATCATTTGTGTGTGTGTGTGGGGGGGGGGTGTCATTTTGTTTTTCTGAGACTGACTCTCACTCTGTAGCTTGGAATTCCTGGAGATCCTCCTGACTCAGCCTCTCCTGGGTCCTGGAATTACAGGCATGTGTGTCAGCACACCTAACTTAGCTCCTGATTTTGCCATCTCTGGTTTCAGATCCATTGGAGCTTTTTTTTTTTAAAGAGAGAGGGCCCCTATCACCATATAGCCAGGCTGGCCCAGAACTTCTGGCGATCCTCCCACCTCAACCTCCCCCAGGTGCTAGGATTAGGGGCCTGTACCCCCACAGCCGGCCTGGACCCTGTGTGGCCATCTTTGGTTCAGGGTTCCCCACCATCCCAAAGCCTGCTGCTGACCACAGGCGTGTCTTGCTAGCATAGCCCCGGGACTCTGCACCCACCGAGGACTGTGCGCCCTCGGAGCTGAAGCCGTAGGCGCCCGAGCTGTTGCAGGTGCCCACAGAGCAGCGATAGTCGGGGGACCACTGGCTGCCATAGGAGTTGGAGAAGGTGACGCTGCTGCCCGAGGTGACTGCGCCATCGTCCTCATCGTCGTCCTGGTCCTGGTGGCCGCTGTCGCCGCCAGGGGCCGCGCCAGGCTCACAGTAGGTGGCGTCGTGTGAGTCCGGGTCCCCTGGCGCCCCCGAGGCCGCCTCATTCACATAGGGGTCCTCCTCGGAGGAGTCGTCGCTGGTGCGGATGCCGCTCGTGCGCTGGTCCGAGTGGCCATGCTCGCTGGGGTTGGGCGAGTCCTTGAAGGCGTCTGCATCCTCGTCGGCCGCGAAGCCCTCGTCCTCCTCCTCATCCTCCTCCTCCGGGTAGGGCTGCCCGAAGTCGAACCCAGGGCCCGAGCTGCCGCCCGCAGCCAGGGAGCGCTCCAGACCGCGCACACACGCGTCGATCTCATGGAAGTTGAGCGCGGCCAGGAACTCGTGCGCCGCCCGGCTGGCCTCGTCCTCCAGCCGCCGCAGCTCTTCATCACGCCGCCGCCGCAGCCGCTGCAGCGAGGCCTCGGTCAGGCTCAGCTCCTGCTGCTCCTTCATGCGCTGCAGGTCTTCGATCTCGCGCTCCAGCCGCAGGATCTCCTCCACCTGCTTGTTCTCCCGCTGCTTCTGCAGCTCGCGGCTCAGCTCTGCAGCCTCCAGCTCGCGCTGCCGCCTGGCCTCTTCCTCCTGCTCGGGAAGAAGGAAGCGGGGTTCGAGTTAGGATCTGGGGAGGCGGTGGTCGAGCGCTCAGCATTGGCCTCCAGACCCACAGGGCAGCCCAAGCACCCAGGACCTTGGGGTGTGGCTGGGTTTGGACAGTCAGCCTTTAAAGACGCAAGGAAATTAAAAGGTGCCCTTAGTTTGGGGACACATGCAGTCTAAACAGGGCCCTAGCGCATGGCATGCCTGTGTTCCCAGCACTCCGGGAGGCTGAGGCAGGGGGCCCGGAAGGTGTTTTGTTGTTCTGTTGTTTTGGGTTTTGCAATACTGGGGCTCGAATCCAGGGCCTTATGTGTGTGTTAGGCAAGTGCTGTACCCCTGAGCTGTGGCCCCAGTTAGGATTAAAAGTTTGAGTCACACCTGAGCAATTCAGTGACTTACGAGACCCAGTCTTGAAATTAAAACAAAACAACACCTTTTTTTATTTTTTTAAAGCCTGGGAAAATAGGTCAGTTTAAAGGTGCTGGATCCAAAACACAGTACCACAGTTGGATGGATGGATGGATACAGTGATCTTCTAAGAAGTGACAGGTTATAGGGCATACACATTAGGGATGTGCACAAAGGTTCCAGAGAAGAAGCGGGAGAAGGTGACATCTGCACACCATACAGCTTAGCCCCAGGAAAAACCACGCTGCTAACTGCCAGCCGTTTCTTCCAAGCTGCTCTCCCTGGACGGCTCTGAGTTATTATTTCAGTGTTGAGCCAAGAGGTCTGAGGTGGAGAGGAATCAGGTAAATAAAGGACAGGCTGTGTTGTCACCACGGTCCCTACCTGTTGGGCCCGGAGCTCTGCTTCTTTCTGCACTCTCTGTCTTTCTCTGAAAACAGAGGGAAAAACAAGTATGACCATCAGCATTCATCTTAGAACCACTTTAGGGCAAGACGTAGGGTCCTTCACGGGGCAGCAGGAGCGCTCGAACCCAGGACCTCGGGCATGATGGGCAGGGGCTCTACACCGCGTGACACCCAGCCCGAGCTCCCCCGCTTTGGTGCGGTGGAGCCCCCGCTCGAGCAGCTGCAGGGCAGAACTGGGTTACCGGCTGCGAAGGAATTCTGCGTCCTTGTGGCCAGGAGAGGCTGTTTGTTTCACACAGCAGACTCTGCGGCCCCCAGCGGGAATTCTTAATACATGCACAGTATAGAACCCAAGCGCTCCCTTTTCGTGCCCTCCAGCAGGAAAGGTCCGGACCGGACATTACCTCTCCTCCTCCTCCAGCCTCTTCCTCGCCTCCTCCTCCCGCTTCTCTGCCAGCATTCGCCCGTACACTCTGCGCGCTCGCTGGCCGCGCAGCTGCTTCTGCACTACGAGGGCTGCTTTCTTCAGGTGCAGAAACCTCCGCCGCAGCAGAAAGGCCCGGACATTCTTCTGGATCGTCACCACGCCGTGCAGGACCTTTCTGTAGTGCTTTCTGCAGAGGGAACGGCACAACAGTCAGGGAGGCCGTGGGTTACACCCAGGCGCATGCGCGGAGGGAACCAGCCAGGAGGCGTGGATATCCTCTCCTTAGACTGCAGAGACTAAGGAGCCCCTGCAGCAAGACAGAAGGAAAACAAAGCAAGGGTAACAAACCAAGCTAAGATCCTATCACGATCCTGACCAAATAAACCACTCAACCACGAATGCCCACTTGGAGAACTCAGGTAGGACTCTGGCTAACAGGACCAAAGGGAACTTGATACATTCTCCCGTTCCCAAGAAAACCGCTGACACAAAGCAAAATCCCCCCACAGCAGAGGCTCTAGATTCACAAAATGCAGCCCAGTGGTGGGGCATGCTTGTAAAACTAGCACGTGAGAGGCTGAGGCAGGCTGATCGCCCTGCGTTTGGTTACACAGTGAGTTCAAAGGCATGCCTGAGGGAACGAATACACACAGAGATGCTGTTTCTGGAGACAGTCAGAAATCTGAAATTCTCAAACATTTTGAGTGTTGATGTAATGCTGAAACCATTCCAGATTCCTAGGCCTGGGGTTTAACACATGCCTAGCATGTGTGAGGCCCTGGGTTCCACCCCCAGCACCATTTAAAAAAAAAAAAGATCACAGAGCATTGTGGATTTCAGATTGTCAGCGAAGGCCCCATCCACCAGGCAGGTGCCAGTATTCCAAAACTCAAAAGCTGCGAACTTCAAAACCCTCCTGTGCCGAGCATTTGCAATCAGGACCCCCAGCCTGTGATGCTGAAGTGACCAGGAGGACGCCGTGGCTTCAGTACCACACACAGAGCAGCTGCCTAAGTGACCAGGGTCTGGGCAGAGCCCTGGGACAAGGTGGTGGTCTGAACCAAGGCCCCCGCCAGCACCTTTCCCCATGGCTGCCTGGTCCCTGCTGGGTGGTTTTTTCCTCCTGCCCTTGGACACGCTGGAGGCCAGCAATAGACCACCCGCTGGGGACACCCTCTGTGCGGTCTTCACCGTGCCAAGTAGCCCAGGACGTGGGCCCGGATCACCATAGCCGCCCGAGTGACTTCCTCCTCCCGCTGCCTCTCCAGCTTCTGCTCCAAGGATTCCCGGAGGAAGACCTATAGGGACACAGAACAGGGTCGGTAGAAGGAAAGCATCCCTGAGTTGGGGCTTTTGGGGGGTGATATTTTGGAGACATTTTTGGATTTGGAGACAAGATCTCCCTATGCATTGCAGCCTGGCTTTGAACTTGGAGCGATCTGTATGCTTCAGCCTTTTGGGTGCTGGGATTGGCCCTCTGCCTGGTGTGGGGTGATGCTTTTCTCTCTTTCTCTCCTGTTTGCTTTAGACTTGAGTGGCCATGTTTTCTACAATAGTGCTTTGTAAAGGTCCCACCTGCCAATGGGTAACACCTGTATAAAATCCAGTCGGGATATGTCACAAAAAAGAAAGAGAAAAACATATACAAAATCCAAGTCTCGGTGCTTCCAGGATGAGGTCCAGCAGGCATGAATGGCTGTGCAGTTGCACCGGGTAAAGGCTCCAGAATTCTCCTGTGTTGTCACTGGGGACAGAGACACACAGTTCACACCAGTATGCATCCTCCAGTGCATCTGTAGGAGAACTGTCGGGGTTCGGGTTAGAAAGACAAGGGAGGGGAAAGGGAAAGACCCCATCATCCTGCCATCATGGGATGCCTCCTTCTCATGCTTGCTCAGCAATTATGAGCAGAGTGTTTTGGCTTCAAACACAAATGCACATGAAAATAGTTACACTGAGAAGGGAACCTGGTAGGTGTGGTGGTGTAGGGCTGTAATCTCAGCTGCTCAGGAGGCTGAGGCGGGAGGGCTGCAAGCCGAAAGCCAGCTAGCTGGGCAACTGAGTGAGACCTTGTCTCAAAATAAAATAAAATAAAACAACGGTTGGGAGTGTTGCTCAGTGCTCCTGGGTTCAATTTCCTGGGTAAAAAATAAGAAAAGGAAGAGAAAGGAGGAAAAGGACTATTTTGTGTGGTACCCTATAAATAAATGTAGTGAGGATTCTGAGAGCTGGGTGTGGCGGTGCATTCCTGTCATCCCAGCACTCCTGAGGCTGAGACAGGAGGATCACTAGGAATTCAAGGCCAGGCGTGACTACACAGTGTCACTCTGTTTCAAAAAACAAAACAAAGCAAAATTTAAACACTGAATTTGAAGCATGAATTGAAGTGACATCTCAGTTCAGTCACACACACACACACATGAACTGGGACTAAATAAACTGGAGCTATTTTGGGACATCCACATCCCAAAAAAACAGCTTCAGCTTCCGTGTGAAGGGCCTGGGCTCAATCCCCAGTACCACAAAGGGAAAGAAAAATTTCTAGGAAACTTGAGCCAATCTGATTAGCCCTGCTTTTCCACTGAGGTCAGCTCAGAGGCCTTGCTGTGCTGGGATTGCGTGTGCAGGACCCTCGGCCTGTCCTCCGGGAAGGCCCCTGCTCCAGACAGAAGCCCTTGCTGTGGGGTCTGCACAGGCACTGCTCTTGGGCCAGCGACACGCAGTGTCACCTCGCCTGAGCTGATGGCTGCATCGCCCCACTTCCTGCTTCGATGGTGAAATACCTGTGCCGAAGTCTGCACCACGTGGTGGCAGGCCTTGCTGACACACAAGCTAATAAGTAATTAAACTGAACCCCTGGCCAAGGTCAGAGCTATGGAGACCACAGGATTCCAAGGCTTCTGTTTGCCGTTCCTTTCCAGCATTTCTAGTGGCAAATGAACTTTTGGCCAGCTTCAGCCTCTGACGCTTCCAATTCCCACCCATCAAAATGCCACTTTCTAAGCTCTTCCTTCCTGCAAGACTTCCCTGGTTCCTGCAGGCCACAAGGACTCGCCTCCTGGAGAAGCCTTCTGCTCACGCTTTAAAGATTATGTGCTGCTTGGGGCTGGGGATTTAGCTCAGCGGCATAAGCGCCTGCCTTGCAAGCAGGCAGTCGTGAGTTCGATCCCCGGTACTGATAAAAAATAAATAAATAAATAAATAAATAAATAAATGGAAAAAGACAAAAAAAAAAAAAAAAAGCGTAAAGATTATGTGCTGGGCCCACTGTGCCAGCTGCATGAGGGTGTTAGCGGGGGACAATGGCCTAAGCACCAGCCAAGTCCTCAGCCTTGTGGCCTGGCTTCCAGAATGTAAACTGAGGGTGCAGCTGATGGGCACGGGGCACGGAGAGGAGATGAGCAGCGGCTGAGACGCGTCATAAAGGCAGAAGGCTGTAAGACAGGAGGGGGTCTCACTCTGGAGTCCAGGCTGGCCTCAGACTTGCAGCAGTCTCCTGCTTCAGCCTGCAGAGTGCTGGGTTTGCAGGTGTGCTACACTATGCCCAGCTTCAATTTCTTTTTGATTTAAAGAAAAGTTGAGCAGATGCTGCGCTGAGGAACCCTGGGCTGCTTCTCTACCTCTTTGGAGTGATTAAAGAGCCGGTCCTGTGCCCCCTTGCAGATGCTGGGCAGCACAGACTGAGTGGCTCCTACATGCACACTGTGGAGAAGGACAAGCAGCTCTTTGTGCCACGTGGCAGGGCAGTGTGTGGATAGTCACAGCTGAGCTAAGCGCAGGGACACCAAGAAGACAGGTGGCACAGAGGAAGGTCAGATCCCGACCTGTGCTCAGTGCGCCCCAACCCAAAGGCTGCGCCGACCAGGGAGGGGTGGGGAGAGGAGCATGGTGACAGGCACTTCAGGTGACCCCAAGGCATCTCCTGGCTCCGCTAGCAGCCTGCAGCAGGAGGGACAGGGTCACTGCTATGATTATTACACTGCCTTAATCTCAGCAGACCAGAGCAGGAGTGCTGAGGCCAGGAGTTCGAGACCGGCCTGACCCACATGGTGAGACCCTGTCTCAAAAGACCCCAAACCTACGAACATGAAACTTCCACCTTCCTGCCTCAACCTCCCCTAAGGGCTAAGGTTACAGATATGCATCACTGTACCTAGCGCTACTTTTCCCTGGTTTGGACTTGAGTTTTTGGCAACCTCTAAGAGCCCAGACTGTCCGCCAGCTTTCTGCACCACAGTGGTGCGAGACAACACCTAGGGTGTGGATCACAGCCCACGGGAAGGAATTAGGGCTCCACCGCTGAGGAGCTGGGAGCTGCCTAGTGTACCCGAGGCACTGAGTCACCCTGGGATGCACACACAGACACACACACACACACACACACACACACACACACACACACACACACATGCACAGAGCCACTTGTGTCACGGGTCTGCTGGCAGCCGGGCAGCTTCCCAGCCCTCACCTTGGTCTTCCCCAGCTGCCACTCGCTGCTGGAGGCATCGTAGAGCTGCAGCAGCGCCGCGCACCTCCCACGCACGTCCTCGGGCAGGGCCAGGTTCCTCGTCAGCACCTTGTACCTGTAGCGTGAGACCACCAAGTCAGCCTCCGCTGGGGTTCCTGCATCCGCCCCGCCCCTTGGACGAGCAGGGACCCACGCAGCGCTCGCCTTTTGTAGAAGTCCTGGAAAGGCCTCCGGATGGCATAGCCCGCCTTGCGAATGCGCACAGTCTCCAGCATCCCTGAGTAGCGCAGCTGGTTCAGGACGACGGCCTGGTCAAAGTGGTCCGGCATCTGCAGCGGGCGACAGGAGTAGATAAGGCTGCCAGGTGTGGTGGCAGACACCTGTGGTCCTACTCACAGGGAGGCTGAGGCAGGAAGATCGCAAGTTTGACCCTAGCAAGATGCTGTCTCAAGGCAAAAAAGCGACACAGGGCCTGTCTCTCAGTGTGAAGGCGACGGTTCAATCCCCAATACAAAAGAAAAAAAGAATAAAAGTGGAAAAAATTCTCAACAAAACACAAACTACAGGCTAGAGAGTGAGCCCCGGAGGGCCCATGTCACCCTGTTTTAAGAACTGTGACCCTACCCAGTCCTGCCCCATGCAGAGCCTACCTGGCCCACCCATGATATTTCTGGAAGAAATCCCAGTGTTCATAACATCCTTTCAGTAAGTATTTTAGTACGGATCATATCTGATACAACTGTAATACCATTCTTGAAAGAAACTATTAATGCCTAAAGGGAAATATCTATATTCCAACACTGTACAGTCTCACAAATAGCATAAACACATCAACATTTTAGAAAATCATTTTCAAAGAATTGTGTCATAAAAATGCCACTGTATTTTGCTTTTTCAATGTCATTTTAAAATGCATTTTAAGCTAAATAATACAGTAATTGGTAAAGAGAACACACACACCACACAGCAATGGGTGGTGAAGAGAGGGAACAAAAAGACAAAGAGAATTTAAATTTGCCTAAGTTCTAGTCAAACACCCCACTGATGGAGAGCAAGCCCAAGGACACGGAAATCGAAGACAGGAGGAAATCGAACTGAGACCTGGCTTCCGCCACTCACCGTCTGGTCTGCCCAGTTGCTTATGCTGTCCAACAACACTTTTTCAGGGGAAAGGTAAAAAAAAGTGGGTAATTTCCCATGTCCAGCTCTTTGGATGGTGACCCACTTTCTAATCCAACCACTGACTGCCTTTCATTATCATGTTTTGTTATTCCACAAACCCAATTAGGGGGCTGAGCAGCAGCACAACAGGATGCAAACGTGTAAATCTACAAAAAACGCAAGGGGCCCTTCAAAAACACAGCAGGTCACGAATTCAAAATCGGGCTCACAGTTGTGTTTTTTCCTACTTTCTAAACTGTCAAAAAAAGTTCAAGAACGCTCTGCAGATCTCAGAGCAGCCACTGTCTCTGAGATGGACTCCTCAAAACCTCTCACACCAACACTGTGGTCCCATGGTCTTTACCTAGCAGCATTATAACTGAGCAGCGGATTGAGGCCAACAGCCCAAGAAATGTGTGGCTTCTGATTTTGGTCTTGATTAGCTGAACCACCTTAGAAAAGCAAGAAATGTGGGGGCTGGGGATTTAGCTCAGGGACATAAGCACCTGCCTTGCAAGCAGGCGATCATGAGTTCAATGCCCGGTGCCAATAAAAATGAAAAAAGACAAAAAAAAAAAAAAAAAAAAAAAAAGAAAAAGCAAGAAATGCGTAAAAACAAAATGGAGCCAAGAAGCCCCTTGGTGCATCTTCAGGTCACTTCCTTTGTAAAGACCAAGGGGGTATGGCCAGTGCTAACTGTCCTGCACCTATCTGATGACATGCTGCTGGAGTGTTTATCTGGGACTCATCTGCCTGTGAGCCCTCTACCAGCAGGACACAGTGAAAATCCGAAAGTCTCCCCATTCTATTCATAATAACAGCAGAAACCCATCCATTGTGAAGCTAAAGATACCAACACAAAATACCCCTCCCCTCTCAGCTTTTGCTGCTGAGATCCCTGCTTCTGGCCCCTCTGTGCAGTCTCCATCTGCCGAGTCCATGCAGTCCCAGGGCCCAGCACCAGAGTTATTCAAACTCTCCGAAAGACAGGTCAGGGCAGAGTTTGTGACACTCACCATTTTCCCCGCTGTCCAAAGGATTCCCTGAGGCTCTTGGGCCAAAATGCACATGGAAAACAACTGCTACCCTGACCTTTTCCCTACCGTAAAGCCAGGAACAATAATGAACACCATTCCTGAGCTTTAAAAAGTGCCCGGTCGCCATGGCAACGCCTGGGGGCTAATTAGTGTGGTGTGGTTGCGGGGTTGGATACAGCCAAACGAGGGGGTGATGGGGGGGCGCTGGGAACGGCCATTAGTGCTGGATCCCCCGCCTTTTTGCCACTGCCCCTTCCCAGTAACCCACTCGGGGAGGCGGATCTCTGGGCCCATGGTTACCCTGGGCAACGCGCCCCGCAGTCACGAGGGGGCGAGCCCAGCTTTCCATTGGTGGCCCTCTCTTGGGGCAGCTTCCTCTTCTGGTGAATTTAACTTTCAAAGATGTCACAGCTGGAGGTGGCCCAGGGAGCAACCTAAAGGCATTTTGCCTTTCAAAACTCTGCTCCTACGCTCCAATCTGGATTGGTAAACGCAATTCCCCTAGTGCTGGAGTTTGCTCCTACAAAGGCTGCCCGCGGGGAGCTCAGCCAGGTTTTGATAGTGACAAATAAGTTCAAATTTGGAAGGAACAGCTCAAATGTGTGCAATTAGCGTCCCAGCTGGATCTGTGTAGTGACTAGCTATTACACACCTACTATGTGCAAGGCTTTGTGATTCACGTTCAGGAAAGACCAAAAGCTGGGGGCGGATCTGGTTTCCCAGGGTCCTGGGGTTCAGGAGGGTGCCAGCTTCGTCCACCAGCACACTACTCAGAGCCAGCGCAAGCCTAGTATCCTGCCAGCCTGCAGATGAGGCTCCCCAGGAAGGCAGTAGAGAGAAACACATCCGAGGGAAGCAGGCGGTGCGTGAAACCCAACCAACAAGAGCTCTCATCCGCACACAGTGTTTTGTCAAGTGCCGAGAGCAAAGGCTGGAACCTAGCAGGTCCCCTGTTTTCATTTGTTGCACAGACACGTGATTAACCGTGGTGGGGTGTGGAGGCGCACACCTGTCATCTCAGCACTCAGGAGGCTGAAGCAGGAGGTTCCCCACTAGTCCGAGGCCGATCTGAACTATATCATATGAGACCCTGACTAAAAAAAGGGGGGGGGGTTTAATGTAAAAGGACCTGAAAGGGCAAATTCAGCCTTGGTTGTTAAAAGGCAACCCAAGAGAAGGGCGTTCCCTACAGGGAAAACATTAATAAAAGGTGGCGGCCCTGGGCTGCAGGTGACACTGGGTTCCAGCTGCTGGTCATGGTCCAGAGGAAGAAACCACTTGGTCAGACAAGGGCCCCTTGTCATCAGCAAGAACCTGCAAGGAGATGGTCACCACCAGAGGACTGCCAGGTCTAGGAAGGACAGCTCAGGCCCATGGTGCCTGGGCGTCTTCGTACTGGCCAGCATGAGAACAGGATGCACCGAAAGGATGGCATGGTCTCAGGTGACAGAGGAACCATGACCTTGCATACAGCAGACACCTGCTTAGCGCTTCCTGCTGTGGGGTGGGGGTGGGGATGGGGAGAGAGCCCCCCAAAAGGCAGTGAGGGGACTGGAGTACCCTAAAAGAAGGTGACAACCACACAGCACAGCATCTTTTAGGACTTTTCAGAGTAATTCTTGCAAGGAATAGGTGCAGGAGGTTCTTCCAGGAAGACAGAACAGAAAGTCAGAGGAGCGGGACCAGAGGACACAGCAAGAAGGTCCCTGAAAAGTGCAGACAACCCGAGTGCGACCACTAGAGGAGAGAACTGACTCCAGGATTTCCCAGAGACATCGAAAGTCTTGGGTACGAACGACCCCCACATAAAATGGCTTGGTAGGGGCCTGGTACGGCGGTGCATGCTGTAATCCTTGCAGTCCGTGGGGCTGAGCCAGGAAGGGTGCAGCTGGGAATGCAGCTCAGTGTGAAGGTTCGGGTTCAGTCCTCAGTAAACACACAAGCATGTGTGCACAGGCTTAGTGGGACCGGGGGTGTAGTTCAGTGGTTGAGCGCCTGCCCCAAATTCACGAAGCCCTGGGTTTCGTCCCAAGTGGTGGTGGGGGTAAAAAGCAGTCATATCTGTGCACATTTCCCTCCATGCGGGGCAATCAGTTACTGTACTGAACTCATGGGATTACGGACAAGAAAGAAGCCCACACACATTTGGTGCAGACACAGTTTCAGTGCACAGGGCATCGAGCCCGGGCATGAGGACACTGGGGCGCCGTGCTCCGGCAGTGGAGGACGGGAGGTCAAAAGCAGTGGCACTGACACATGCTATGAGACTCTCAAGGGCGAGGAGCCGGTCACAGAGGCTGCGAGGAGTCCACTGGTGAATGCTGAGAGCAGCAAATACACAGAAGTAGATGCTCACCTGATGGCTGCCCCAGGTTACGGGGGTGAGGGCTGAGGACCCCAGCAGGATCCTCTAGAGCCATGGGTTTCTTTCTGAGATGAACAGCATGCTCCGGATCGTATCGGCTACGCTGACGACTATAGACTTGTGACTACTGTAAAACCCACTGAGCTGTACATTAAACTGAGTCCCCGTGGATTCCCTCTGGGGGATATGTCAGCATGAAACAGAGGCTGACTCGAGGCATTTAAAATGACCAGGAAGGGACTAGGCAAGAAGAGGGGCCCCAAATGAAACATACTTAGTTTAGCAGTGGGGCGTAGTAATGCACACCTGCAATCCCAGCACTCTGGGAGGCTGAGGCAGGAGAATACAAATTTGGGCCCAGCTCGGGCAATTTAGCAACTTATGAGAACCTGTTTAAAAAAAAAAAAATCAATAAAGGGCTGGGGACCGTAGTGCAGGGCCTGGGTTTAATCCTCAGGATGCCCTCCCCCAGTGTATCCAGTTTTAACCTGCCCTTGGGTGAGTTAATCAGAACGAATACAATGAGAAAAATCTTTGCCCTCACAGTCTGAAATATAAGAACGCATGCAGACTGCCACCTAAACAAAAGCAAATCATGAGTAACAACTGGCTAAACACTAACAAAATCAACTGGGCAAGCCTGGTTTCTGCCGCTTAAAACTTAAGTAAAGAGCAACCCAGGTGCTGGGAGCTAGAGACACACTAGGGCCAGGGAGGCAGCCTTCCAGGAAGCCAGCCACGTGTGCATAGGGAACCCCGAGCCTGA